TTTTTTTTCTATTAATGTAGTACTTGTATTAGCGTGTTTTTTGATTTGGTAAACCTTTTCACAGATTAAGGGTATATAAGCCTTCATCATATTTGTGATAAGTGTTTATAAGTTTTAACTCTTATAGTTAAACCTTTCTTTTTCCTCCCATTGCATTTTTAGTTAGTAATGTCTTTCCTTAGTTCAGTAACAGTTAAATACTAATCTATGTTTTCACTCTCTTTCTTTGGATATTATACTTTCATCAGCAATTACTTTAAGAAACCTAAAAGAAGACTGTAATGATTTCTACAAATATGAGAAAGTAATGTGGGCAACTCAACAACAAAAAGGTTGTTTAGAAATCAACATTTTATGTTTAACTCTCAACACATATTTTAGTGTATATACTTTCTTCCTTAAATATCTACACAACTTGAATCACAACAAAAGCAATGTAACACTTAACATGTATGTGTGTGTACTCACAAAGTTTCATCTTTTTAAACATTTTTACTCACTTGTAGTCATGATGCTAGGAGAGCAAGAGGGTATTCCATGATCTATCGCCCATCTGTAGGCACCTTCTCCAACTAGAAAGCTAACAACAGAAAATATATTCTTTTTAAGAAGTTACAGTGTCATCTTCTCTTATATATATAATTAATATGCTAAGACAACTGAAGAAATTCGTGCACACAAACATAAACCGAGAGACCTCAAAATAAGATGACTATATGCCAAAAAAAATTCCATTAAAATTAGAAACAGGCAATCTCTGGGTTATGAACATCTGATTCATGTACAACCGTAGTACTGTACCAACATCCATTATATTAAAATTCAAGTTACCACAATTCATAATAAACAATGGGTGGTAGTTTGTGATGCTCATCAAAACATTATTATTACTCTATATTTATGTTAACTATTTTTATCTTCTATCTAAAAGTGTTTTAAGCATAGAATGATAACACTATATATCCTTAGGTACACTATATATCATACAGACAAACATTTGACTAACTGGAATCGGATAACAATCATACCTAACTGTTCTGACTTAACTACTGTTGTTAGGTGCCATTGAGTCCACTGTGATTCATTGTTGTGTGATGTGCCATCAAGTCGGAACTGACCTAGAGCTGACTCTCTAGTGAGTTTTCAGAGGCAGTTAATCATACGGGTGATTGTGCATCCTTCCTCTGTGGGGCAGCTGGTGGATTTGAATCACGTGCCTTTGGGACAGCAGTGCAGCTTCTTACCACTAGGCCACCAGAGCACCATGACGAATAGGAAACACTCTGAATAATGGATCTGAACCTTGCCCTATCCTGTCCCAGCTTCATCATCACTGTTTGTGTCAAATGTCACTCAAAAACATATTTAACAATGAAATGTGTTCATAATATAGGCACTTTCTGTAGTCTAATTGAAAATTTTACACTTGGAACTGTTGCAAGATCATTTGCAATAAATAAAATCAACAAAATAAATAAAAAAAAAACAGAAACAGAATTAAAACTTTCTTAAAGGTGCAAAATATTAAGCTTTATCTTGTACCAACATTGTTCTCAGATCATGACATAGCATTCACTCTTTCAGTACTCACTGCTATCGAGTAGAAAGATATTCATAGCTGACTTTGCAGCTGGTTTTCAGAGACTTAAACCCAGAGAAGTGTCATCTTTGGGTTATCAGCACAACTCCGCTTATCCTATGTCATAATAAGATCTATTGAATCAGTTAAGAGTCTAAAGATAAGTGACTAGATTTTGTTATCTTGCCTGATAGACTTGGATCCACTAAAAATGAAAAGGGCTATTAGAGAGAAAAGAAATGTAGTGTTAGCCTAAAAGCTGGCTGGCATTTTTTAGTCACTACAGTTAGCCTCCTCTAGTCTCCAGCTACCTTAAATGCAGACACATGATCTTGTAAGTCAGCATGGTCTTGAAAGTCATCAAAAAGTGTGAGACTAAGATAAGAGAGAGAGTTTATACACACGTGGAGGCAAGACTTGAGGGAGAATGGAGTAGACCCTGTTGGCAAGACCCTGCTGATGGTGTTAGAGAGAATGCAGTGTTGCTGTGGAGAAACAGTGGCAAGGTGTGGGCAGAGGAGTCCTGAGATAAAGGCCACAATTAAATGAAATGTGTTTACTGTTATTCCTGGATGCTTGAAGGACAAGCTAACTTATGACTTGCTGGATGCTTGCTTGCTTGGAAGCAATCTTTGCTGTATGATTTGGATTTGATAGGATTGGAGGCAATCCTTGCTGCATGATTTGACTGCTGAACTGAAACAAACCAGAGCCTAGACTAATTGTGGACTTGTGCCTGGAATTGTTTTGGGTGACAGTCTTTGCTTACCCCACTTTACAACTTCCTTCCCTAATAAACCCTGTTGGTAGTACCAAAAGTGTGAGTCCGTGAGTCAGTAATGAATAAAGTAACCTCCTGTTGTTGGTGTGATTCTAGAGGCACCATGGACCCGAGCTATGGGCTCTTTATCGGCTTTCTACTCTGGGACAGTGAGGGACTGTGCTATTCTCACTCCCTCTGGTTCTTTAGAGAGATGCACATGGCCCTGTGTCCCCATGAATCATGTGTCCCCACGAATCATTTTCTCCTATTTAGATAAGGAGAATTACAAAAGAAATCAGCTAATACCCTGACATATTTTTCCAAACACAATAAGAAATATTTATAGTCTCGATGCAACTAAAACATAAACAAAACCATCTACTTACTGAGCTATATCTAAAAAACAATTTATTTTAGACTCTAAACTGCATGTTTTAACATGACAAAGTGAATATATATAGCTATGGCTTGCAAAAGACTTATTTTCCAAGGATTTCAAATAACATGCAAGATAATTAATTACCCCAGTCTCTAATTTAAATAAACAAGTAGTAATATAATATAACAAGCAAGTGCCATAATAAGTATTCACTTCTTCTGTTTCCATAGCCAACTTAAATATTTCAGCCAGCTACTAATAAACTCCTTGAATTTGTGCCTACTTGTTAAGAGTCCCACTCCCTTATTGTTTATGCTGTTTTAATCATTCCAATACAAAAAAGAACTCACAGTAATAAACCACTGAAGTCTCAAGATCCAACCATTCAGAAAACTAACAGCAGGTTAGAAAAAATAAAAATCTAAGTAGAAACAGGCAAATTGATCCAAATATATATAAAGGTGAGGATGGGGTAAAAGACTGATGGGGAAGGAAGACAAGAGAAAGATAAAAGGCCATGGAAGGAAAAAATAATTTTACCTCTTTAAGCCTCTATTTTTGAGAGCCTAAGAGGTCCTAAGAACAGTTTTTCCTAGTCTTATACCAAACACCACCACATATCTGTTTGTTTGCCATGTGGTGGTTTGTTTGCTACTGTGTTGCCGGAAGATATGCTACCAGTATTTCAAACACCAGCAGGGTAAACCATGTTGGCATAGTTCACAGAGAGCAGGATTCACTATTCACTTCTAAAATAAACTGCCCTGAAAAATGCTCTAAATAGCAGCAGAATCTTGTTAGGTACAATCTTGGAAAAAGACTATCCGCAGATTAAAGAGAAACTCATTGCCAAAAATTGGAACCAACTCACACCTAACCCTTCAGCAAGTTTCTGGGAGTTTGTAAAAAGAGGAGAGTGTCCTTATTTCTCCAACAGAACTGAAAGTACTAGAGTTATTTCCTCAAAGTACAGTGTACTTTAATGTCTAGGATAAAATAAAACTTTCGGTCAATGAAGTAACTTCACTTGCTGATGCAGCATGAATCATTGGATAAACAGCTATAAACATCCATGAATAATTTTAATATGGAACATTAGAAAAGAACTGATCTGGAAAAACTTGGAATTGTCAAAACTATAAAGATTACTATCACAGACAACAGCAGACTGAAATGAACTGATATTGGTAACTTTGGGATTGAAGCACAGCTCCTTACCACTATGCCACCAGAGCTCCCTCGATATTGGTAACTTTGAATCAATCATATAATCTACTAGACAAGAAATGACCACTGAAGAGGACAAGTGTTATATTCATTGTTAAAAAGAACATTTCAATATCTGTCCTGAAGTATAATGCTGTAATGACAGAATAATACCCATAGGCATATAAGGAGGCCTGATTAATATAACTAGTATTCAAGTATATGCACTAACCACTAAAATAATAAATTCAAAAACATTAAGAATGTTGACCAACTTCGAAGGTATAGGTATGTATAGGTAGATATACATATGTCCTCAAACCCAATGTAGGGTCGTTACAAGTCAGAATCAATATGATAGCAGTTGGTTTGCTTTTTGGTTTATTTTACTCTGTTGTTGTCGTTATGTGCTATTGAGTCGCATGCGACTCATAGCAACCCTATGTTCAAGAGCCCTAAACCCTGCTCTATTCTGTGCCAAGCTCATTGTCTCCAACACACCTACTCCTAATACCCAAATCACTGAATCAACCCATCTCATCGAGGGTCTTCCTCTCCTGTGCCATCCCTCCTCTCTCCCAAACCTGATGTCCCTCTCCAAGGATTGGTCTCTCCTTGCAACATGCCCAGAGTATGCCAGACAAAGCTTCAGAATCCTTAACTCCAAGGAGCAGCCCAGTTTGACCCTCAAAGACAAACCTGTTCGTTCTCCTAGCAGTCCATGGTATATTCAAGACTCTTCTCCAGCACCACAGCTCAAAGTCATCAATTTTCTTTCTGTCATCCCTAGTCACTGACTGTTCAGCTCTCTGATGCATAGCACACAATTGTGAAAACTATAGCCCAGATCAGGCGCACCTTAGTCTCCAGACTGACACTGTCGTTCTTCAGTACTCTGGAGAGGTCCTGGATAGAAGACTTTCCTAATGCAATTCATCTGTTGATACCAAGAGTGTTGACTGTGAAGCCACACAAACCAAAACTGTTAATTATCTCAATCTCTCTCCCTGATTCCTTTCTGGCATCTCACAGCCCATATGGTTGTTTGCTGACCTTGAACATTACAACTCTGGTGAATTCCCCTATTAGATTTGTCCCCTCTGACAACTAGAAATGAGGCTCAACACTGGGTAAACCTGTTTGGATTCTGGAAACAAAATATCCCCATTTGAGTGTGTTATCTTGGCCTACTTAACAAACAACTTGAAAACTCGTGTGACCAAATAAAGACTGTGAGCAGGTTTAGGCAGACATGCAAGTTGATCTGCAATTTAGTTTATATGAGTTAGCTGATTCAATAGTACCTGAGTGGCACTGGGTGGCAGGCAGAGATGCACCTTAGAGTGTGGTGGGCTCCTATCATTTAATCACAGAATTATGTAAAATCAGAGCAAAGCCCTGCCATCCTTTGCAGATAACTATTCTCCATTTGAGAGCAGCTTTCGGCTTGCTACTAAGCCTTGGTAATAACTAAACAAACACCTAACTAGGGGGCACTAAGTCTGTAAACAGTCAGAGCCTTCCATCATAAACTATGTATTCTCAACAAAAATAAAAGGAGTGCACAAAGTTTAACAGGATAGCAAGTAATAAACCACAGAAAGGATGGGGTGAGATAGGAACTCTTATACATTACTGGTGGGATTGTAAAAT